ATCACAAAACTCAATGCTTTATTTTAGGTTGCTGGCTGTGCCTGTGTGAGTTAGTCAGGTTTAAGTAGATTTAATAAAAAAGAACATCAATCTGTGAGCTAAAACTAATTAAAAAAACATCTAATCAATGCTAGTGGTTTGGTTAGTGTTAAAAGAAAAAACTGAAATCATTCTAAAAGAACACATACATACAAAAATACACACAAGTATTTATATATATCTATATATCTGTTTATATGATCCTCAGCATCAGTGGGAGGAGCATTTTTCTGAGTCACAATGAGGAGTGATCGTTGTAAAGGGAGGACATTTTGCTCGTCCTCACCAGCTATTTTTGCTGACGGCTAATTTAAGAACAAGAAACTACAACATCCTTTAAATCACAAGACCACCTTTAAATTGTAAGTTAATTTTCAATTCAAATCTTTTTTTTTACTGGTTAATGGGGTTTAGATTTTTATTTCAGGATGTTAACAATAAAAAATACGCTCTAAATGGTCCATTTATTTATTTTATTTCTATTACGCTCCCTACAATTACACTAAACTCCCCCTAGGGGGCACGCGTCACCCCTTTGGGAGCTGCTGACCCAGACTATTCATTCGGATTAGTTCAGATTAAAGGACGTTTTAAACAAACCTTTTTTTTTATTCTTTATCGGGGAAAAAAGTTTGACTGGGTGATTTGGTAATATAATCATGAATCTTTGAGGTTAATTAACTATAAGCAGAAAATTGTCCTAATTAACAGAAATAAAGGCTTAAAAACATCAGGCTTTAAATTTCAGATCTATAATTTCTCAGAATCAGAACCTCAGCTTATCAGACCCCTTCCTCAATGCATCCTAGAGTAGAAATAAAGACTTTTATTAACACATAGAAAGCCCAGAGCAGAAATGGATTTTAGCAAACTTTTGTACTTTTTCTATAAACTCTAAGAAAGGGTCCTATACAGAACCTTTAATGGTTTAGCGAAACCCTCCAGTGTTGAATGTTTTGAGATCTAGAAAATGAGTCCTCAATGAACAAATTGTATTATTACTGGTGACAGATGGGATGAAATGTTTTACATTCACCCGAAGATCCAAACAAGGCCTGAAGAAAAATTAAGAATGAGCTCAGAAATATGTT